ATTATAAATTAATTAAAATAATAATAATAATAATAATAATTAAAAAAATATTTTTTAAAAAAAACTGCCACCGACTGTCCGGGACTGTCTTCCTTCTTCAAGGACAGCCATATTTTAAAATTATTTTTAATAATAATTATTATTATTTTAATTAATTTATACTAAATAATATTTTTAATAAAAAAATAAACATTGTATGCATTTAACCTGATAAACAAGTCAATTTGGACTTAATTGAACAATTTTACAGGTTTAGAGGATCTGAATTGAGCTTTTTTTACTTAGGGGATCCAATTGCACTATCCATCCTACTTAGGGGGCCAATTTGACACTCTTTCTTTTTTATTTTTTTACAAAATAGTAATTGTAACTCTTTTTGAGTACTTACTAAAATCTATCAAAACAGCCAAATAATTTCACTCCTCCCTCCATAGCCGTCCCTGTGAGCATGTTATCCACTATGGCTATTATCCCAACTCTCATCATATAATAAGGTAAAATAATGCCCGCATGGAAAGCTCAATTGGTCATAGAGGTAAAAGTTGAAAAGAATTACCAGGGATTGAGTTTTACCAGCAGTAGTGTGGGAGCAACCTCTCAAAGTGAGGAGGGCTCCTTGTGCGCAGTAAGTAGAGGTCTAGCCTATGTGGTTCATGTTCAGTTGAGTTATCATGATTTATATCCTCCCAAAGGCTCTGTCGGACCGGAGTGTGGAGGCCCTTAGGGTTGATATTCAACCTTTTGGAAAGAATAATAAGGTAAAATAACATGTGTATTTTATATTTTGTGTATATTCAGTAGTGAACTGGTTGTATTTGAATTCGAATTCATAATTAAACTTTAAATGAATATTATTTTATTTAAAAATCAAATTTTAGTATTTTACTGTGTATTAATTTAAATTCAAATTATAAAATTACTTCTATACTTATTATTTATAAAATAAAAATTATAATATATATAAGATAATTTAATGATAGGTGATGTGAAAAGAGCATATCTTACAAAAAAAAAAAAAAAAATTGCAATACTAGTAATGGATAAGTTGATTGGTAATCACTTTATGAGAGAAACTGTAATACTTATGAGGAAAAATGTGATAATTTTGATAAAAAAAAATGTAATACTTTTAAATCAAAATGTAATATTAGGGATTGAAAAGTTACTTATGAGTAAAAATATAATACTCCAAAATATTTTTGATAAAAAATGTAATACGTTTAAATCAAAATATAACATAAGCGTTGAAAAGTTACTTATGATAAAAATTGTAATATTTATGATGATAGTTGTAATAATTACGAACACATATCCTCATAGGAGATTTGCCACTTTAGGTTGGTTGACAAGTTCATTTTTTTGTATGACGAATATACCTTAGAGCATCCTCATTAGTTGGATTTTTCCCCAGTTTTTTTGTGGCCTCCAGCATCCACTTCATCATCCACTATCTCACTCAATCACAAAAACTCTTCTCCCCATTAATTTTAGTTTTTTTCTCAGTTTTTTGTGGACCCACCATTTTACTATACTATATTTTTAGAGTTAATTACCAAAATGGTCCCTTAACTATAGTGAAATTACCAGTTTGGTCCTTGACTATTTTTTTGACCAATTAAGTCCCTCAACTTTAAAAAAGTTAACCAATTTGGTCATCTGTTAGTTTTGCCGTTAGACTTCCGTTAACTTAGGACCAAATTGGTAATTTTGCTATAGCCAAGGGACCATTTCAGTAATTAACTTTAGGTATGGGCAATTTGGTTCGATTTTCCCGAACTGAACCGTACCAAACAACCGAACGATAATGAATTATTGTATACCGAACAATTCGGTTAAAAATCAAAAGGAAATACTGTTGATTTGATAATAATAATAATAATAATAATAATAATAATACTAATAATAATAATAATAATAATAATAATAATAATAATAAAATAAATAAATAAATAAATAAATAAGTAAATCAAAATCCCTTAATGCCTCATTTACCGTTCAGCTCATATTCTCACTAGTATCTCTCGTATAAATCAAAAGTCTAACATATAACAAAGCCAACTAATGTTTACTATTTTGTTATAAAACATTTACGAGAGATACCAATGACAATATGAGCTAAACGACAGAGCACGCAGCAAGGGACTTGGATTTACTTCATTATTATTATTATTATTATTATTATTATTATTATTATTATTATTATTATTATTATTATTATTATTATTATTATTAAAAAATTTAAACGGTATTAAGTTCGATTCAGTTTTTTACCAAATAATTCGGTTCGATTTAGTTTTTTACCAAACCATTCGGTATACAAGAATCCATTACTATTCGGTTGTTCAATTCGGTTCGGTATGGTTTGATTTGGGAAAACCGGACCGAATTGCCACCCCTAAAGTAAATTACTGAAATGGTCCCTTGAATATAGCAAAATTACCAATTTGGTCCCAAGTTAACGGAAGTCTAACGGCAAAACTAACGGAGGACCAAATTGGTAAATATTTTTAAAGTTGAGGGACTTAATTGATTAAAAAAATAATCGATGACTAAATTGGTAATTTTGCTATAGTCAATGGACCATTTTGATAATTAACTCTATATTTTAATTATAAATTCATAATTGTAATAAAAAATTAATTAAAATAAACATACCTACATTTAATAAATATGATAATAACAAATATTTAAATTAATTTTCGTTGTTGCTCTATTTATTTTAATTATTTTAAATTTTAATTTTAATTTTAATTTTGAATTTAATTTTAATTTTAATTAAATCATTCAAAATTTAATTCAAATTGTTTTATTAAATTTTGTATTTTATAAAAAAAAATAAAACAATAAAAAAACAAGTTAAATGTAAAAAAAAAAAAAAAAAAAAAAAAAAAAAAAAAATGAAAGCTGCCGCAGGTGAAAAACAAAACAGATCGAAAAGAAAAGAAAAAAAAAACAAATAAAGATTGAGAGTGGCCGCCACTCTCAACCGCCTAAGCGGGTGCATGTAAAACACATGCCATCTAGGTCGCGCCGCGAGACGCAATTGCGCGTCTCACGATGCTTTTTTTTTAAAAAAAAAAAACTGGAAAATACCTTGTTTTTGCAGGAGTAAAATACCCCAAACAATCATGCTCCACATCAGTGTAAATTCAGTACATTGGTTTTTCATGTTTCAAAACCCACCAAAAATACAGAGTTGGGGATGCTCTTACAATTATATTTGAAAGTATGTGCACTAACTAAATATTCCTCTTATATAATACTTCATTTGTCCCATTTTATTTGTCATACTTACTATTCATTGGTCAAACCAACTTTTTCCTCTTTGTTTATTTTTTTTTGTATTTTTTAATTATTTTAAAATTTTAATTTTTTTTTTGTGTGTGTTTAATAGTACTTTTAATGTAGTTTCTAAATATATAAATTCTATATACTAATACTAAACTTAATATTATAAAAAATTGAATTAAAAATAACTTCAGTCGAGTCTTGTTAACCGAACCAGACACATAAGTGGGATGATGGGAGTAACTTACAAATCATATATAACTAAAACAAAAGTAAGAGTTCTACTACATGAACTCCCAAATCATACGCCCTAAATTTTACTCCCTGATGTGGCAGGCACTGATAGACTACTTTTTTCATGTGGGTCCCAATATAAGTGTCTACATCATAATTTTGTGTGTGGGAGTAAAAGTTGGAAGTAAAAAATTGGAGTACATATAGTATTTTCCTAAAAGTAATGAGTGCTTGATTCAAGAATTATATACAAAGTTCTATTATATGGACTCCCTATTTTGTACTCCTTCACTTTTAATCATTTATGTGACAATGAATAATTTGTTATTTTCATCATGTGGGTCTCGCCATCAAATTTTGTGAAAAAAAAAAAATTGAGAGTAAAATTTGAGAATAGGATGCACACGGATCGATTCCGATTATGAACCGACGGTTCCCGGTTCTAGAAATGGTAGAACCGGAACTGGCGGTTCCAGTTCAAACATTTTTTTTTAATGTAAATTCAATTATGTATTTTCAAAATTATCTAAATTAAACAATTAATTTTTCTTCTCTAGGTATATTCATTCTAAAATGTTTTAAAAATGATTATATGAAATATTTAAACTTCAAAGTTAAACTAAAAAAATACAAATAATTGATATAGTTAAACTTTAAATTGTTATTTAAAGTTTAAATTTAATCAAATATTATTTATTTAAACTTTAATCAAATAATATTAAATTTTAGGCTCAAGTGTCAAATCGCACCATGAACCAATTGCGATATGTCATGCTGCACCCTGATCTTTCATATATGCTATTCTGATGCACTAACCATAAAATTTTGTTCGTCTAGACTTTTTAACAAGTTACTATCAAGTTACCAGTTATAATAGGCTGATGTGGAGGTGTTTTTTTTTTAAAATATGTATTAAAAATATGACATGGCATCCTTTTTGACTTTCTCAACATCTTTTCTCTTGGTGATTTGTTCTTATCACTCTCTACAGGAGCCCCGACGAAGGCGAAGGCGGAGGCCTTTGGTATCCACTCTCGCCGGCAGCCATGGCATGAACGAGGGCAGCAGTGGAGCGATGGCGGCGTGGTCAGCAACAACGATGGCAGCACCTGGAAGCAGCAGTAACGACTAGACACATCTAGATTTGATCGGCGAGACAGTTGCGCTTTTGGTGGTTGGCGACTTCCTGTAGTGATGACCGGCGAGCTGTCTGTTTCAAACGAGCGGAGCAACAGTGCTGGACCTCCGGCGGCAGTAATACTCCCTCATTTAGTGTCACAGCAGATCTGGCGTCCTCTTGGCGAAGCTGAGCTGCTGTTGCGGCGATTGGAACCGACGACCCTTAATTAGTTTATTTACTTGTAATTTTTAGTCAGTTGGGATCTCTCTGATAATGAGTGTAGTTATTTTAAATTTTGTGTTTTCAGGTCTGATCTAAAGCTCCACATCGCTGTGGGATAATTACAACGACCTTTGGAATGGCGAATCTGGTGGTGCGGCCGTTCGGAGGATTTCCATCGGACTATGCCGCAAAGTTCTTCGAGATGAGGGGGAGGCTATGGGCCTTATGGATCTTGCAAACGATGGGAAGACATTTCTGCTTTCTTTTGGGGCGGGCGAATTTGCTTCCCTTAGCTGTGACATGGATGGTCATCTTCTTCATCGGAGCTCAGGCGGCCTACGGGGCCACTTTCGGCATCATACCCTTCATTTCCCGTCGGTCATTGGGCATCATCTCGGGGCTGACCGACGCCGGAGGTAACTCCGGGTCCGGATTGACGCAGCTAATATTCTTCTCCACCTCAAAGTTCTCCACCGCGTCGGGGCTGTCGTTCATGGGGATAATGATCAGTGTTGAAGATCAGTGTGCGGATGGCCTTCAGTCCACATCAGCACATAGTCCATGAAATGAGTGTTGAATTTTAAAATAAGTCCACATTAACACATGACCCGTGCCATGTCATCATGGCAACCTGAAAACATGCTAAAAAGTCTAGATGAACAAATTCTTATGGTTTGTGCATCAAAACAGCAGATATAAAAGGTCACGGTGCGGCATGACATATCACAATTGGTTCAGGGTGCGGAATGACACTTAAGCCTAAATTTTAATTTAGAACCTAAACTAGAACTGTACGTACGATTCTGAAATCGATGAGGTTCTACAATACACATTTGATTCGATTTGTACCAAACCATAGTCATCCGTAATTTTCCTTTTATATATATATATATATATATATATATATATATATATATATATATAATTAGGTTCTGGTGCGGTTCGCAATCTTATGTGTGGTTGTGGGGTTAAATCTAAGTCATTGATCTTGCTTAAATCAAAGTCCAGGATTACCAAAATTAAAAAAAAAAAAAAAAAAAACGCGGTGGCAATTTGGTAATTTTGCATCTAAGTCAAATTTAATGTGCGTAAGTTTTGTGCTTAAGTTGCGTGAGACTTGTGCTTAAGGTGCATGAGTTTTGTGTTTAATGTGCGCGAGTTTGTGCTTAAGGTGTGTGAGTTTTGTGCTTAATGTGAGTAGTTGTTAAAACTTAAAGTGCGTGAGATTTGTGCTTAAGGGATGCGTGAGTTTTGTGCTTAATATGCGTGAGTTTGTGCTTAAGGTACGTGAGTTTTGTGCTTAATGTGACGAGTTGGTAAAACTTAAAATGCGTGAGTTTTGTACTTAAGGTGCGTGAGTTTTGAGCATAATGTGTGTGAGTTTGTGCTTAATGTAAGCCATTTGAAAATCTTAAGTGCGTGAGTTTTGTGCTTAATGTGCTTTGTTCTATGCTTAAACTGCGTGGTTTATGTACTTAAGGTGAGTAATTTGTGGTCTTAAAGTGTTTTGTTTGTGTGCTTAAAGTGCGTAGTGATTTGTCTGCTTAATGTGCGTCATTTTAATGCTTAAAGTGTGTCTAACCGCACGAAAAACCATTCCCGCACCTGAACCATTCCATATATATATATATATATATATATATATATATATATATATATATATATATATATATATATATATATATATATATATATATATATATAGTGAAAGGTTCCAGTGCGGTTAAGTGCTTCCCGTGCGGTTGATTAATGTGCATGAGTTTTGTACTTAATGTGCGTGAGTGTGTAATGTTAATGTGCGTGAGTTTTGTACTTAAGGTGTGTGAGTATTGTGCCTAAGGTGCGTGAGTTTTGTGCTTAATGTGTGTGAGTGTGTACATAATGTGAGTTGTTGAAACTAACTTTAAAGTGCATGAGTTTTATGCTTAATGTGCGTGAGTTTTGTGCTTAATGTGCGTGAGTCGTGTGCTTAAGGTGCGTGAGTTTTGTACTTAATGTGCGTGAGTGTGTACTTAATGTGAATTGTTTTTAAAAACTTAATTAAGGTGCGTGTGTTTTTGTGCTTAACATGCGTGAGACTTGTGCTTAAACATGCGTGAGACTTGTACTTAACATGTGTGAGGCTTGTGCTTAACATGCGTGAGGTTTGTGTGCTTAATGTGCGTGTGTTGTGTCCTTTAAGTGCGTCAGATTAATGCTTAACGTGCGTCCACCCGCACAATCGCACGGGAAGCCTCAAATGCACATGATCCCTTCCCTATATATATATTGCAAATTCCATCAGCTTGATCATTACTTTCGGGTACCTTAGTATCTTCCTTGATACGCAGGTGCATGGGGCATTAATTGGGATGTGACGGTGATTTGAGCCCTTTAATTAATTTCTACTTCTCCGTAATATTATGCTTCATCCATCCCCGACCCCCCTGATCTATAGGGTTGTTTGGTTCATTTTAATTAAGTTGGAGTTGAATTGAAATTCATTGGAGGTAACAATTATATTGTTTGGTTGGAGGAAATTACAATTTCATTTATAGTATGTTTGGTTTACGGAATGAATTTTGAGGTAATAGGAATGTTATTTCATAAGGAATGGAATAGGCAAGGAATAGAATAAGAATTGTATTATAGTGTTTGGTTCGCGGAAGGAATAAACTTTATGAATTATATTATAGTGTTTGGTTGATTTAAGGAATATAAATGAAATATGTTTTAGAAGACATAAATACCCTTATAAAAATATGTGATGGTGGCGGTGGTTGTGACACCCCAAAAATCCACACTCCAAACCATGAATTAATTGAGTAATTAATTCTATTTCTTTTGAGGAATTGATTCCTAAAATCCTGATTTTTTGATACTCAAGGACTAGTATTTGACTAGTCAATCTTTAAGTGGTGTTGTACCTTGTGCCTTGAGAGGAGTTCCCTTGTTCCTTACACTTTCTAAGAGTTAGTAAGGGTATCCTTGTCTTTTCACCAAGAGCTAGTTTTGTCACCTAAACCTAGAAGACTTCTTCATTTCATTCCCTTACATTTCCTAGAAAATATCTCTACCTTCTCTCTAGAAAACAAGAGTAGCTTGTTCTTCAAGCCAAAAGAAGCCTTTGTCAAGATTCAAAGTTTTGCTTCCAAGATTCAATCTTTCCTCTATTTTGGCATCTAGAAGGGTAAGATCTAAGCTTGTCTAGTCTTTTTGGTTCCATCTTGGTTGTCTTTTTCTTAAAGGTTGAATCTTTATGATCTTTTGGTTTGATCTTGAAGTGGGTTTGGCTAGTGAGCTTAGTGGAGAGCTTGTTGTGGTGTAAGAAGAGTCTTTTGGTCTTCAAGAGGTAACCCATGCTCTACAAAACCTATTTTGCTTACCTATATATGACTTCTTGGCTTCTACTTGTGTTTTGATATGAAATGTGAGAGTTTATGCATTTATCTTGTGATATTGCATATCTAGAGCTTGTGTTTAGGTTTCCCTTGTGCCATTGCTTGGCATCTTCCTTGGTTCAAGTCATTTTGTTGTGCTTGGTGAGTTTTGGCATGTTTTGGACTTGAATTTGTGTTTGGAGAAGAAAATCCCCGAAGGGATTTGTTGTTGTGCAGGGATGTACCCGCGGGCGGAACGGCGGGCGGGGCACCACCCGCCGGCCTACCCGTGGGGAACATATGCCTTGTGGGTAGTGTACCCGCGGGCGGGACCACGGGTGGGGCACTACCCGTGGGTCCACCCGCGGGGTACACGGTGGCGTTTGGTTCGGGATTTGTTCCCCGTGATTTGTTTGTCTCGGTGTTTGATCTTTTGGCCTCCCGTTGTTCTTTTGTGGAACTATTTGAGCGTCTTCTTGATGTTTCGTAGGTCTAGAGCTTTATGGTAGGTATCCATGTAGGATCTTTGGTGTTGTGAATCGTGCTAAGTGTTCAACATTGTGTTTCGTTGAACCGTGTGGTGTCTTGTGTGTTCCTCGGAACTATCTTGAGTTTCCTCGTTGTTGAGCTTGCTAGTTATTATCTTAATGCTAGCGTCGTTGTTGTCGATGGGTGGTGACCTGTCTCTTGATTGAGTATGTTTCATACCTTCTCTTGCAATCCGTTGTTCGTTTCATGTGAGTGGTGGTGCGTGTGTGGCTCTACCTGGATTGCACGATTAGTGGTATGGGACACTAGTCACCAAGGTATTGCTGCGGTCCTCGTGGTGGCCGTGACGTGATTTCATGGAGTTGTGGCTGAGTCCACGTGTTTGGGGGATAACATTGTGTTATCCGGGCATGTGTAGCCGTGAATTGGTGGGTTTTCGTTGGTGGTTATAGGTGGGGGACGACGGTCCCGGAGGAATAAGGTTGGACTTGGCTGTACAGGGGCTTTCTGGAGGTAATGGTTGGTACCGAAGGTACAAGGTTGGGGGTAGCCATAAGGTTGGAACAGGGCATAAGGAAGGCATATCAACTCGTGATGTGTGATGTCACGAGGGCTTGTGAAGCCGTTGTTGTGGTGAGTTCTCTTCTCTCGTGACGTGTGTAGTCACGGAGGCTTGTGGTGTGGTGTTTTGGCATGTGTTGCCGTTGGGTGAGTCTTTATCCTTGTGTGTGGTTAACCTTTGTGGTTTGGGATGTGTTCCCGATTTTATCCTTGTGAGTGGTGAGTCTTGCGTTGTCTTTTGATCTTGGCTTTTGACTTATATATATGTATTCTGTTTCGAAAATGGTTTTCATATTATATATCTACCTATTTATGATACTTAACGGTATTGGTGGGTTACCAGCATCTTTCGCTGACCGGGCGTCGCCCCGATGTTTATCTTTGTATCTTTCAGGTGATGCGTAGTCGAGCGCGATGTCTAGAGCCGGTAGCTTAGCACCCGTATCTTTAGACAGTGTTGTTGAGGCCTGTGTGCCAATGTCTTTAGACTGTTCTAGTTTGTTGTTTTTGGGATAGTGTTACACTTGCAGATTATCGCCTTAGCGTATACCAAGTGTGGTATACGTGGCATAACACCCCGTTTTGAATTCCTTTTATCCAGTTATCTTTTTATCTTCCGCTGTGCTAGTTTTGTGCTTGATCTGCAGGTGTTAAGACTCGTTTTAAGTCTTGTTGTTTTGGGGGTGTTACAGTTGGTATCAGAGCCTAGGTTTGAACCTTGGTTTAGAGCCTAGGAAGAGTTTAGTCTAGACTTTCTAAGTGTTTAAGTGTGTTTTGAGACCTCTAAGCGACCTTAAGGAGTTAAGTGTTAGGCTTAGGACTCTAGGTTGCGCGGTGAGATGTGTGTTGTTTTCTGTCTTGCTTGCTTGTTTTTTTGTGGTAACCTTGTTGTTGTAGCAGAAGTGCGATGCCTCCTCGTCCTCGCGCCCGCTCCCCAAAGACCCCGACCAACGAGCAGCTCGCCCAGAATCTCCATCAGTTGACGCAGACGATGCAGTCTCTCAGTGGAGCTCTGTTGAACAACAATCAAGTTGCGCCGCCTCCGCCTCCGGTTGGGCACCGTGATGTGGGTCGCCTTGTGTCTAGGCATCGGCCGCCTTCCTTTGCTGGTGAAGAAGACCCTGTAGTCCTTGAAGAGTGGCTACGGGTGTTTGAT